TTTTAGTTTTTAGATATTATTACTGTATATATAGATATATTTATGATGCAACGAAATATTACAATTTATAAAAGTAATTATTAAAATGTATTTTATAACACATCCAGGCGGATCGTGCGTGTATCTGTGGTTATGACAGAATCATCAGCGCTGTAGGTTACCCTGCAGCATTACGCTGAGTCATAACCTTTTCACTGGCTCGATATGGCACCCCATCACTTGTAGTTTTAATCTCATTTATCTCATCTCTCTCATCATAATTTTAACTGTTTATTATTTTGTTTTTGTGATGTGTACAGTTCCAGTGAATAAAGGTCTTTCTTTTTTCTTTTCATTTCGTGGTATGTTTCCCTCTATCACCTCTAACGATAACACGACGATTCAAGTTAAATTGAAAATAGCTTTTAAGCAAGTAATTGAGCATTATGTAGATTGTGAAGAAAAGTTTTACCTTTTTCTATTCTAAAAATATGTATAAGTGTAATTTATTATCGAATTAGAATATATTAATTAAAATAGAACAAGTTATCTCCAACAGTCTTATTATTATTTCAGACTGGTACCGAAGTAACAAATTATAATAGACTCTCTTGTACACACTAATGGATTTACTTCGCAAATTATTAGTGTCACTCAGTTATATTTATAAGTCATAAATTAATCGTAACTTCGTCCAAACTTATAAGAGTTAAAAGATGATTTTTTATAGGAGAGGGGGCAAACGAGCATATGGCTCACCTGATGGTAAGTGATTACCGCCGCCCATGAAGAGCTGCAACACCATGGGGATTGCAGATACGTCGCTAGCTTTTTAAAAAGGAATAGTCTCTTTTCTTGAAGGTCCCTAAGTCGTATCGGCCCGGAAAAATCTCTGGTAGTAGTTGATTCTACAAGGAAGTTGTGCGAGAAAGAAAACGTCTTTTAAATCACTTAGTGGTGAACCGCCAGTCATCCAGTTGGTATGGATAGTATCGCGAGTTTTGTCGCTATGTGCGATGGTGAAATTGTGCAGCTTGAATTAGTCTGAACAATTCCTCAGAGCACTCCCCGAGGTAGATGCTATAAAATACGCAAAGAAATGCAACATCTCCTTGCAGTGCCAGTGAGTCAATGTGCCGATCGGAAAGAGCTCGGTCGCCGACGATTCGAACAGCTCTGCGCTGGATGCGATCAAATGAAAGGAGCTGGCACTGGGGAGACCCGGCCCGGGGATGCAACAGTATTCCATGTGCGGCCGAACCTGCGCCTTGTAAAGTTGCAGGCGGTGAGCCGGCATGAAATACTGTCCTGCTCTGCTGAGCACGCCAAGTTTATTAGAGGCCAATTTGGCCTTCTCTTCCAAGTGACCACAAAAGTGTACGTCACTCGATATGTCGACGCCGAGGATTCCAATACTGGCTGAGGCAACAAGGGAAGTGCCTTGAAACTGAGGACATACGATGAAGGGGGTTTTTTAGCGCTAAACGCGGAAACTTGTGTTTTCTAGGGATTAAACTGGACTAGATTTAGTCGCCCCGTCCGAGAGTTTGTTCAGCAAAGTTTCGACTTCAGACACAAGTTTGTCACGGTACTCTGCGACGTTTTCCCGCGAAATATTGGCACGGCCGGTGTATAAAGCATCACCAGTGCTGTCGTCTGCATAGCAATGAATGTTACCGGTTTACAACATGTCATTGATATTGTAACGCCCCCCCCTCCACTTAATTATTGTATATTAAATTATTTATTTATAATTAATCTACCCTTTCTAAATAAAATTATGTATATGTGAGCAGGATAAATAAAATATGTTTTGATCTTTCTAAAGGTTTAATAATAGGCAGTTTGTAATATTTTTGGTGTGATCGTCTTAGTTGTGTCAGACCACATGCCAAAGCAAAGTTATAAACAGATCTACCCACATGATCGTCTTAACGAGAATCAAGCCATTCAGCGTGGTTCTCCAAGTATCACGATCTCTGTGGACGGGATCTGTTATAGCACGGAGTCTGTAGCCGTGACGTGGTCAATGAGTCGGTCTGTTTCGGAATTACCGCTATGGGACCTATAGAGACACCCGTAGACGCGGGGATGGTCATCGCTGTCCACGCACAGCCATAAGATGGACAGGTTCGTACCTTCAAGGCCGCCAAGGCGTTGGAAACAGATGTCCTCTCTGACGTACACGCAAACTCCAGCCCGGGGTACAAAAGAGTGTTTTAATCCGTACCCTGGGTATGAGAGATATGAAGTGTTAGCCGAAGAGGACACCTGTGCCTCGGTTAGAAAGAGCAAGGCCAGTGCTTTTCAGATAATAGTGGACGGATTAATTTTGATGAAGTCCCCTATGTTGCGTATTCTCTGTTCTCTAATTTTTCAAAAAGAAGTAGCCGGGCTTACTATGACATTGGGACGTCAAACATCTCAGTCTTCTCGTGACCATGGGTGCTGTAAAGTACCCGAAACATCAAGAATTAAAAATAAGTTAAAAATATGTTAATTAAACGCGACAAAACCCGTATAAATAGTTTTATTCAATGTGTAGGGTTACCGTAAATTTTAGAAATTGATTTGTATTGATTTATTATTGAATGATTGATTGATATTGGTTGTTATTAATAATTTACTACTGTTTTCGGTAAATATAATAAAACAATCAAGAAACGATCTTTTTCGTTGAGCATTTATTGGTCTGTAAAAAGAAAGTAATATAAACTGAACACAGATTAATAAAGTGATAATTATTATCATCTTATCACAGTTTTTCAGCATCTACATAACCTAACCTAAACTAAATATTAATTTAAAAATTTGATGATTTTTTTGACTTATTAATAATTTTCAATTAATAAACAATTACCGTCACAGATACACCAATCCGTTTCGTTGTGTAAATTATTTGAAAAAATATAAGAAAAAAAACTTCCTGCAAATCTTCACGCCATAAAATAAAGAAATAAACAGTTTTCCGCAAGCAACGCGTTTACATAATATTTTATTCAACAAATACACCGTCTTGAAGCTAGTCGAAGTAAGCTGGTCAAATGCATGCGCCCTATTGAACGAGTCTCGGCGTCCGGTGGATCGAGGTACACATACAAATGTGGCACTATGCCATCGACTGTTCATTTAGGATGTATTCAGGCGGCTACATTATGTGAAATTTACTTTCTTCTTTAAAAGTCCTTTCATTTAATAATAGAAGATTACGAATTTCTATTGTTTCTATTATATTATATTGTTTAAAATAATATTTATCAATATAGTCAAGTGATCTTTCTATTTTTTAATAATGTTTAAAAATACATAATTATATAGTGTAGTGAAAGTGTGAGAATATTCACTACCCCATTTAAGCTCGTGAGTTTCATACGAGGCTACTGAGGGGAAACAAATCAGGCAATTGACAAGAGCGTGTTTATGATAACGACATAAAACAATAAAAACTGCGGTTGTCAATTCACTTGCCAAGCGTGGCAACTGTGGCAAAATATCCCCTTGAGGCAATCTATGCGGGAGGTGTATATTCAGCTGTGGATTTTTATAGGCTGTAAAGGATTCAATTCCATCCTTTACAGCCTATAAAAATCCACAGCTGGATGATAACGGTAATTAAATATTACTTCTTAATTTCATTATAAATATTTCAAAATAGATAGACAGATAGAAAATTTATTTGCTGAAAAACATGGCACATATTAAGATGGTCAGTGATGTGGAATTGACATGTTTTGCCACAATTGGCATGCAAGAATTAAATGAAATACAGCTAATTACACTAAGCAAATCTTACATTTTAAAATTATTTTGTGATTACTTAAAAATTATGTACAAACATTTTTTTTTGAATTCAAATGTTATGTGAAATTAAATACTTAAATTAGAATATAAGCTAAGGAAGAGCGGTGTATCTAACACAAGAATTTAATATGCTTAAAAAAATCTGTAGCCAGATCCTCTCTACTACTCTACTTGAATTCTTATACAATAAATTGTTCAAAAATATTACTTACTTACTACTTATCTTCACGCACAATCCCTAACGGGGTAGCCAGAGAGAACAGATCGCCAAGTGTCACGATCCTTACGATCTTTCGCTTCTTTCAGGTTCATTATCTTCTTCATACATGCACGTCTAGGTATCCGAGTACTCTTGACCTTCCCTTCTCTTCTTTTCTTTTTATTCAAAAATATTAATTGAATTATTACATTATTGTTACATAATTAATACTAAAAATGTAAAAATATAAATAATATAAAAATTTGTTGCTTTAAGTTTTTTAATTACCACAACGGTTTAAAAAATATGTTTATTTGCATAAAAAACAGAAATTCCTTATAAATAATGACTGGAGTCTCCTTTTAAGCATATAAATGCTTGTGCTAGACCCACCGCTTTCCATAGCTTATACGAGTATTTTAAGAAAATAAATACTTGTGCTGGAATCACCGCTCTTCCATTGCTTGTATTTTAAGCATATAAATGCTCGTGCTGGAGTCATCGCTCTCCCATAGCTAATATTTTAATCATATAAATGCTTGTGATAAAGACACCGATCTTCCCTAGTAATATATATAGTATATATGTAATATATAAGTAAATTTTTTCATTGGTTCTAAAAATTTAAATTATCTGATACTTTCGACCTTTAAATAAAAATAAAAATTTCGTTGATAAATAAAATAAAAAAAATTTCTGTTACCGTTTTAAATTGAGGTTTCTCTAATTCTAGGAGCAATTTTGTTATTTACTAGATAAGTTATAACATGTAACTTTTGTTACCCTATAACTTTGTCCAGTTCTATCATTTTAAAACACGTCATGTATGAAATTATTTATTTAAGTTATAATAATGTCTCTACCATATAAATACTAACTGTCTAACGTTTTATTATTCGCTTTAATTATTATTTAAATTATTATTCCGTTAACGACATTCAAGGGTGTTAAAATCTAAGTAAAGCCTTAAAACACTGAATGGACGGGGCTTTGCAGAGACGACATGATTTATTAATGTTAGTCACGGGGATGGTGAGAGAATAACCGAAAGTGGAGTGATAGGAGGAGGGGGCCCGGCACTCAGTTCCTCTCTCGCAGTCAGTTGCCGCCAACATACGTCGAAGCTCGCGTGCGACCTCTCAAGCCCCCGTTCGCGGTACGAAACGCGATACTTTAAAACTATCTAAATAAATCGTAAAGTTACACATATCGTGTTTAAAAGCTAATTGAATATGCTTCTTTGATCCCTGTATGATCAAATTATAAATCGATGTCAACAAATTGGTAAGTGCTTGTTTTATTTTGATTTTCAACTGGATGTTTTTCTTTTTTAGTCAAAAGGCGTTGTTATTGGCTGTATAATTTTTAGAATATCCTTTTCTTAGTTTCTATTAATTAGTTCCTGCAAGAGTGTTTTAATTATATCTATTATATGCTACTATATGCTTATTATAGTTTTGTGTTCGAGGTTACAAAATAATATTTTTTATTAAGTGTACCAGACATTTCGTTTACTAGGGATTTTAACGCATCAGGTTATATAAATAAATGAGATTATAAAACAAAGCTTACCAACTTTTCTATCACAGCGCATATGTCTATTATCATCATTCATCATTACAGCCTATTAAAAATCAACTGTTGGATATAGACCCCCATATAATTCCTCACAGGAGGATATTTGCTATAGTTATCACACTTGGCAAGGGCGGCTGGCAACTGAGTTGTAATCAAGAAGACGCTGCTTCCCATCTCCAGTTTTTACGACCATCACGGGACGATACGTGTAGTATACGGACGAAAATTATATTACTTTGTTTTAATTAAGTATAAGAATAACATAAACACTAAATATTTTTGCATAATATAAATTAACTTTTAAAGCAAGAATATAATAATTCGTAGCGTTGATAAATGTGAGAGAACAAATTAAAATATATGAAACATTAGCCACTAATGAGATGGTATCTCATAAAATACATGCGGTGCGGACTTAGAAAATTAAAAGTCTCATATTGTGTCCTCCATTACCTTATTTTCATTTCACGGTTGTGTGCCTTTTGTGTGCTTATATTTGTAGTGAGAAGTTATTGGCCGGCATGAATTGCAAGTTCATATTTGTACATTTTAAACCTGATTGCACACACCAAGTAATAAAATATTTTCTGTGACTATAAGTAAAATATCAAATATTATTACGGTTAACTTTGATTCAAAATAAGTAATCCTGTTTTATCTGTAAATTTATGTAAATTTGACAGATAGATTATAGCTTAAAAAATAACAACAGCAAATTAATTATCGTGAGTAAAAAAAATCAAAATAACTTAAATTAAAAGTTATTTTAATAAATCATTTCAGCTCGTTATCTATAATAAGTGTTTTAACCATTTACATATTTGGATCTAATCGGCATCCATTTTTAAATATTATAACACTTTTTACTTTTTACAAAACTAATTTCATGTACTTAAGTATGAAATAACTTTTTAATATAAGCAAACCATGGAGCAAATTTGCTCCTTGGGGCAAACGAACATGCGGCGATAAACGTTTAGTCCTTTTTATTTTTTATTGTGGTCGACAAACGTGTATGCGCCGCGCCGTGCTAGCATTATTATAATATGTGGCCGGGTTAACAAGTTATTCCAGGGTACTACAACTCTTACGAGTATGCGAGGCTTTTTGCCGCAAGCCTTAGAACCGTACTTTTTTCCTTTAATGGCAATACGCGTCAAAGTTAAATTATTCGAATGTTCTGCTGACAAATATATTTATATTACAACCTCTTTAAATCTTTTTGCATCGAATTTGATTTAAATACTTAATACTAAATTTAATTTAAATACTTTATACCCATTAACAATATTTAACTAGTAATTTATTATGTTGCACTTTTTTGTGCATTCCTTTTCCATTCATTTCGCTATGCTTACGTACGGATTAAACTCGTGTAGGATTAATAAGCAAAAGCAAAATTCTTATTGGGTTTGATGTTTATATTGTTATAAGTTGTATCGAAATTACATTATTGGATGTAGCTGAAACTTAATGTTGTTATAGCGGATTCCATTACGCTGATTGCAAAATATTGTATTCAATTTATTAAGCCTTTATTGCTTATGGTATGTTTTTTTAGAAATGAAATTAATTGTAAGGTACGTGAGGGTCATATAAGCTTAAGCCTTAAGCTTTGCCGCCCTATAAAACCAAAACTAGGAGGAGGACAGGGACAAAAACACAAAGTCCTAGACTACAACTAATATATTTAAAAAAATATCGAAAAAAGCCATGGCAACAATTATGAACACTTCGCAAAATTTTCTTAAAAAACTAACTACACTACATCATACTAAAGTCAACTAAAATATTTACTATAATATCAACTGTCAAAATGGCGTCGATAAAGCGTCGCCCTTTTCACCCCTTATGATTTGATTGACTGATGAAGAGCTATCGTAACACAAAACCGTCTATGCAAACAAGGCTGTAGTTTTTGAGTTATACGAAAGTGACCATATTAATCGGATGAAGATATTACCCTCACGTACTATATTATTTTGTGCAGGCAATTAATTCTTTTTTTTCATTAAGTAAAATATTTTAATTTAAATGCTGTCGACATTTTACTTTTCGACGAAATATTAAACGATATTAACAAGGACACATTTTTCAATACATTCAGATAAAAGTTATAAAGTATAAAAATTAAATAACATAAAATACAAGATAAACAAATTAAAAATTACAATTTTGTGAATAAAATTGTTTAATTGATTTACTTTTATGTTTAGTCAGGTTATAATAATCAGCTCTAAGAAGTATAATTAACAACTAATAGCTATAGTATTTATACTTTCATCTATTTCTGTCGCTAAGCATCCATTGTCGTGTTCCGATCGAAAAGATTTAGGGCATTATATACATAGTAAGGCGTTCCATCTTAGTATTAAAAGGTGAAAAAATAAATAAGGCCTTAATTTGAAAACGGCTACAGACGTTGATGGGCTGTGGTGACCAATTATCAATAAGTAAACTGATTCATTTTTAGTTCTTATATTGTAACTCTACTTGCAACGAGTGGGATATTCGGTCAGTCGCCGAATACCGAATATTCTGCGAGCTTCCTGGCCGAATAGCCGAATATTAGGCAAAAGTATTCGGCCGAGAAGTAGTGTTTACTCAGAGTGTCTTTTCTCTGAAGCTGGGATGATCTACGAAAAGAAAAGAAGTAAATGAATATGCAGAAAGATTTGTCTTTTGCACCATTATTTAGCACTTTTAAATTTCAATTACGATAATTCAAGTACATAGACATTTTCTGATAGTTTTCTTGTTAACTTTTATAATACGGAAGTTGATTATGGACCCGTGACTACTTGATTACAAAACATTAGTATAAATAAATTAATATTTTCATTTTACTAATTATATGACTACGAAAAAACATGTTAGCTATTCAGCCGAATACCGAGTAGTAGCCGAATATTCGCAGCAAGTCTAATAAAAAAAAAACGAAAAAAAAAAACAATAAATAGGTTACCGCAAAAATAATTAGTTAATAAAAAAATGTTTTTACATTCAGGTTGTATAAAATGTTCAGGAATACGAATTATCTTCCCAGTTGGAAGTTATTGTAATGGATCCGATTTTGCAAATTGGAAATTTTAACATATCTCCACGTTTCAAGGCATGTATGTATGTATGTATGTTCGGATTCAATTTTCGCCTCGTATGTCTCGAGAACAGAGAGTGATATTGACATGAGACCAGTTTTATTTAACGCATAATTATGTAACTTAAACCTCATTAAATTTTGAGGAAAATCGGTCAAGTCATTTTTGTGCCGAATGAAAAATTGTATAAAATATTAAAACATGATATTTTTTATTCTTTCCACTGGAAAGTTAGTCGTGTGGACCTTTCGGTTCCAAGACCGCTTTTTATTTTTGGATACTTATTTATTTTAGCTTTATTCGCACAGATAATAGATGAACAAAAGGCAGGCTGAATGCCATTAGGCATTCTCTACCAATCTACTTTTGGGATAAGGTTGTTACTTCATCATTAAAGTAACAAAATGAAATTAAAAACTGTCGATTAAATTCAGAGTATCTGCTTTTTAACATTTTACTATCCTAATGAGCATAAAAGGAATTGTAAATTAGCCTTTAAGTTAATTTAGTAGATATACTTTGAAGAGCTAAACAAGAACTTTTGCAACTCATTACGAATCTACCGCCATAACGTTTCAAGTTTTGCTATGAAAACGTGATTAAAGTTCTTAAATAGCTTAAATTTTAAAAGTTCGTTAGTCGAACCAACGTCTTACGAAAACAAACTTTGACATTTATTATTTGCGAAAAGCGTAACCACGTTACAATTAATTTTGGAGATGTAAATAATTTTAGACAAATGATTTACTCTTCTATCCTTTTTAATTGCATACTCGTATCTTATAAAGCCGTGGTAGTTAATGGGCTAAACGCTCTCCCCAAATTTACAGTAAAATAGCAGCCCGGCGTCGATTCCAGCTGGCAGTAATGTAATTGGTAAATGCAATATAAACTGTTACATTACCGTGTGTACGGTGTAGTGAAAGAAAACATTGTGAGGACATTTGTATGTCTGAAGAAAAAAATATTTCGAAGACATATTTATTTTTCACTGGGCAGCGCGGCGGAAGCTTTTTTTGTCCGAAAAACGCTCGGAATTGGCGGAGGCTAGTGTCGTGTGGCGTATATAGGCTGTAAATTTAACTTTAACCATATACCTAACTTGTATACCTATACTTTTTCTGTTTTCTACTTCTTGCCCTGAAATGAGAGGAGGCTTAAGTTGCAGTGGATCGTTTTACAAGCTGTTAATTTACTGCACTTTGCACGATTACAAGGAATGTTTACTTGTAATGTTCTTTTACTGCTTACCGTTTCCTGTAGTGAGGAAATTAACAAAGTGGTTTATTTTAAGTATTTATTATTATTTTTAAATTGTAGCATCTCAAAAACTTTTAATAGTTTTTGATATTTTAACTAAAATGTGACTTTCTGTTTTGAAAACTAAAATATAATTTCTAAAATCTTCCAATAGGTAATAGTAATATTGATTTAAGAATTAAATTCATGAAAACCTTTACACCCGATAGTACTTTATTATTTAGGTGTGATTTTATTTAAGTATATATATGTGCATGCAGTGGCCTATAGACACATTTCTCTATCTATTATCAATTAAGAATCAAAATGCAGATGCGTTGCAGCCCCTGAGGACTAAGATAGAATGCCTCATTTAACAGTAAAAAGAGGCTTCGTTTCTACTCCCCATTTAAAATAGCATGCATTATTTTGCTGTTATTTTACGCTGCTATACTGGATAGGGCGTAGTTCTTTCCCAGTCGAGCCGATCCATTCTTGCTTTATAATACAACTACAGCGTGGCATAACAGAAAACATTGATAAAGGTATGAAAGTTACTGGTGTCTTTTTCGATATGAGTAAATCATTCGATTTTGTAGACCACGAACTGTTACTAAATAAAATTGAAAAATATGGCATTAGAAGACTTGCATTCCAATGGAACAATCTTATATAAGTAACAGAACACAATGCGTTCAAATAACTAGGATTAATGAATTTAATGAGCATGTAACATATAGCTCTAAATTACAACCCACTACAAAAGGTGTGCCAACAAGGTACAATTCTTGGTCCTTTACTTTTATTTTATATATTAACGACCTTCCATTGGAAATCGATCAACATTGTACTCTATATGCCGACGATATATCAGTTATAATAACAGGTAAAGAAAAGCCATCTGATTATGAACTTAAAGTTAACAATACTGTCACATCTACAATAAATTGGCTCGAAAGTAATAATTTACGTCCCAATCTACTCAAAACTAAATATATTATATTCTGCACTAACCGGGCAAATATCCCTAAAATAAAAGTCGTGAGTTATAATCAAGAAATTGAAAAGGTAGCTGAAATAAAATTCCTCGGCCTTATTTTAGACCAGCTGTGTAGTTGGAAAAGTCATATAAGCTTAATGTGTGATAAATTAGATAAATTCGTTTATGCACTTAAAAGACTAACAAATTTAACAAGTAAAGAAGCTGCTATAACAGCTTATCATGGATATGTAGCGTCCGTGCTACGGTATGGCTTATTGATCTTGGGCAATTCAATGGTTTTTAATAGAGCTTCCTCATCCAAAAGAAATGTGTACGGGCGATTTGTGGATGTGGACCTTTTGATTCTTGTAAACCACTTTTTAAACAGTTAAAACTTATGACACTGTGTTGCATGTACGTGTATGAAATTGGAACGTTTGTAAAGAAATATCTACATTTATTTTAAAGATGTATTGATAATTATACAGATAAAACATTTCCGCATAGAGATGTTACAAGACTAAATTTACGAAAGTGTAAAACTGTCTTTTATCAGAAAAGTTGTCCCAATATGTGTATAAGAGTATATAATAAAATCCCCAGTGATGTACGAAAATTGCCATTTCACTTTTTTCAAAAAACATTGAAGCAATGGCTTATTCAGAATTGCTTTTATTTCCTTGATGAATTTTATTGTTATAGACCAAAGTGATATTTAATATAATCTTGACTTGACTTGATAACTGTTGACATGTACGAGTACACCCAAACTTGAGGACATTTTCTATATTTTTATTTTATTTTATTTTGGCTTTAACACTGGATCAAATTTTGTATTATTTTCTTGTTTATTGTTAACGTCTATGTATATGTGTGTTATTTATCTTGTGACATTTTATTCTTAGGGTTTTCACTAATTCGTTATAAATCATAGATATCCATAGAACATTTATAGAGCACTAGACTGACAATTATAAAATTATATATTTGCATGCCACTGGCGAAATATGATTGTACCATACCAAACTATTAATCCTGTAAAGCCTATCATATTTCTTGCAAATAAATCATTATTATTATTATTATGTGGGGTATCTATATAGTTTTCTCATCTGGTTGGGTTCTATAAATATATAATTATAAATTAAAATGAAAAGATAAATATACATAAATATAATTAAAATAAAATAAATACAAAAATACATAAATAAATAAAAGCCCAACCAGATGGAAGCCCTCGGCAGGGGAGATCAAACGGCCGAGGGTTAAGAGGAAAGGGAAAGAAACCGGCGGACGATGCGGGCGGTATCGAGGAGCGCCGCCTTCTGCATTTGAGACCGGAGCGGTCCGTCACGGAGTCCAAGTCACCTCAAATGACCCGAGAGGCTGACTGGGACTAGCCCATTCGCAGAGACGACTACAGGAATAATTTCGGCTGGCATACCACCCCACATGTCGGTCACCTCGTGAGCCAGGTCCAGATATTGTGTTCGTTTATCTGTTTCGGCTTTCACGATGTTCTCGTCATACGGAATGGTAATGTCGACCAAAAATATCCTTGACTGTGCCCGGTCCATCAGCACAATATCAGGCTTATTCGCAAGAATAGTCCTATCCGTGATGATGGCCCGGTCCCAGTAGAGCTTGGCACGGTCATTTTCGAGCACGGCTTCCGGCTAGTACTTGTAATACGGCAACTTCCGGTCCACGAGACCGTATTTCAGAGCGAGCTCCTGGTGTAGAATTCTGGCTACTAGGTTGTGCCTGTGCAGGAGTTAGAAAGCGCCGAAAAACCGGAGATGACATGCCTAAGTGACTCCCCGGGATGGCGACAAGCTCGACAGACGTCGACAGTGCCATCCTTTAGGATGTATCTCCGATAGTTGTTGGTCTTAATAACCTGATCCTGTATTGCACAGACAAAACCCTCGGTTTCCCCGAAGAGGTCACCGAAACGTAGCTAGTTGAGGGAGGCGGCTGTATCTACAGGGGGCTCATGTAGAGCCTTGTAGTACCTCCCGTGGAGCTCCTTCTCCTTCCATACGGTCTCCCGGTCGGAAATGCTCTGTACTGCCGGGTCCTGCCATTGCTCGTTGGCTAAGGATAGTGGGTAAGCCCTGTATCACTAGAAATGACATCATTATAGAATGGATCATCCGATCTCGCCAGGAAGTAATCACGGAGGCTGCATACTTCGCGATTATGCATGGTGAGCGCGCTCAAGAAGCCACGCCCATCATGCTTTCGCGGCAAGTACAGCCTCATTACCGACGACCTCGGATGATGCATCCTATGGGACGTCATTGTAGTGCGGACTTTTCTATCCAGGGCGTTTAGTTCAGTCTGACTCCACCTGATTATGCCAAAGGTATATATGAGGACAGGCATGACCCAGCCGTTATATACGTGTGTCTTATTCACACCGGACAAAAGGCTGTTAAGCACTTTGGTCAAGCCTGCATAAAACACGTCGCGAACTGACTGTTTCATACCAGCCTCATCGATACCGATGTTCTGTGACATACCTAGGTATCGGTATGTTTCAGCCTCGGAAAGAGTCCTTAAGTTGACGGGCATAGATAAGTCTATGCCCTCAGATTTAGCAACCCTTCCCCTTTCAACATGGAGGACCGCACACTTATCCATCCCCAGCTCCATTCTAATAGAATAGCGACTGGAAGCGAATAATTTGAGATCATCCATATAGAAAAGGTGGGTCACTTTTATACTTCCTTTCCCAAGTTGAAATCCCCTCCCGGAGCCCTCCAGTAAAGTACTGAGAGGTTCAAAGAGAGGCAGAACCAGATTGGACTCAGACAGTCGCCCTGGAATATACCCCTTCTTATCCTTATGCGGCTTTCCGCAGCCGTCATCCGCTCGCCTAGATAACAGAGTATCGTACTCCACTGCCCCATACACTGCTCGAGAAAGTCTCGAACTGTACAGTCAATTTTGTACAGCTCGAGGACCCTCTTTAGCCATGTATGGGGCGCCGAGTCAAATGCCTTTCTGTAATCTATCCAGGCGGCGGAGAAGTTCCGACGGTTGCGTTTCACCACTTTGCCAATGACCGCGTCAATGAGGAGTGGTTCCTTGGTTCCACGACTACCGCCCCGACATCCATTTTGAACGCGCGACATCACCTGATTTGAGTCCAGGTGACGAGTGATTCTCGCGCTCAAAATGGATGTTAGTGTCTTGTATATGGTCGGTAGACACGTGATGGGGCGGTATTTGCTCGGGTCTATGGTACCCTGATCTTTAGGAACCAAATGAGTGATCCCAGTAGTGAAGAGGCTCGGGAGCGACTTCTGGTTGAGAGCCTCTTGAAACTGTCGAGCGAGCACAGCATGAAATACCATGAACCCCTTCAGCCAGTAGTGGGTTTTCCAGTTCGGGGCCCTACGGACCGCCTCAGCTACGTCATCCGGCGTTATGATGACGGGGTCCATGGACGTAATACCCGCACACTGACTCGCCACAACTTCCGTCCAAGGGCCATCGTTGTGGTTTATGGGCTCTGACCACAGGCTGCGCCAGAATGCGACCGTGTCGGCCTGATTCAGTACTGGGCCCGTTCCACTTACCATTGGTCGCTCCAATGATTTATAGAGCCTCTTCTGACCACTCTGGAAGAGACGATTCTGGTTGAACCGTGTCGACCTTTCGGTATATCGCCGAATCCGCTTTTCCCAAGCAGCGATTCTCTGCTTCAGGTCGTCTATGCGCTCCGTCAGTTTTTGCATTATATCCGGCTGGGACAAACTAACATTTATCCCAGCAAACGCCATCCTGATGGTGCGCACAATCCTTAGCCTGGTATTGCCTGACCTAAAGCATATCAGTCTGCCGATGAGGGCCCTGGCCCTTGCGATACGTTCTTCAATTCTTGTTCTCCAGGCTGGGATAGCACTACTTTGTCCAGTAGTGCGTCCAGCCGTGGAAAGTTTGGCGCCTATAATACGGCAGACTGCCAGTGCGGCACCAAAGAGAATTGAGTCCGTCTCGCAAAGGTCCCGGCTGGCTTCCAAATAGGTCACCAGCATTGGGTTCAGAGCCCTCACGATAGCCCGATTCCGCTTGCTGAGGGCTATGCGGGGAAGTCGCGGTCGATTTTCGGGAGGCGTACTGCGCGTTTCCAAAATCGCCTCATCAAATGTACTCATTGCTTGGTTGCTGTTCATTTGAGTTGTCCAACGCATGTGGCGTGCTCCACCAGTGGCGGGTGCCGATCGCTGGGCCCGCGAAGACCCAGCCGACACCAAGCCTGCTGGTGGGGATGATGGATGCGAGGGACTGCTGGGTGGCCGTGCAGTACCTTGCGCTCTTTGGCTGGCGGTTCGCATGCTGTCGCGTCCAGCGCCAGCTCCAGACGCGCCCTGGCGTCCTCCAGGCAGCGGCCCTTTGCGCATTCTAGTCAAATCCATCATCCATTTTTGTGGGCGTCATTTAACGGGAGACGCCCAGACCCGGCGCCGTTGCATGGTTGACCATGTGCACAAGCGGGCCTTTGCACCTTCAATTTTTGCCGAGGCACGGCACTAACGCCTCTTGGCAAGGTGCTGACTGACCGCGCTGAAGTAGCGGTTTTGTCACATAACCGTTACGTCAGCGGGCGATGGGGTCGTCATTTCCCTACGCCTTTTTAATATTATTATTATTATTATTATTATTATTATTTTCCTTTTTATCGTATAAAAATCTGGGTTCTGACTCTGCCAAAAGACTGTCTGTTTAAAGTAAAAGCTCGAGTAGCCAGTATTTAGGTAACTCTTTATGTGCTGGGAGAAAAAAGAAGAAAATAAAAAATCAATTAAAGAGAATAATCGCAGTATATGTTTTATAATCCTTAACATAAGACATCGACACTTTAATAGCATTTAAGAAAAATTGTCGTCGGTACGTTTTTTTAACGCCAACAACAAGGATAATAATATTATTTTGCTGTCGTAAGTTTTCCAGTGTTAAATTTATAGAAGCGAGCAGATGCATAACTGCAATGCAGTTCATAGGAAAAATTAGGTCAACTTGTCTAACGGGATGTTGAGTTTGGAGGTTTGTCAAGTTTCCTATAAAATAGGTTATTCGATAATTGTTCATTACGCTTGAAACTATTAAGTGTTATTCAGTTCACCTTCCAATGAACAGGAGAGTTCATATAACCGATTCATTGAACATACTACTGTAAGCTATTTCAAAAAATGTTTTATTTTATTGACCATTAAATATTAATACTGTTTTTTTTTTTAATATCAAAAGATATTAAAAAGAGCCGTGGTAGCTCAGATGGTTAGCGCTCGCTGTAGATTTCACAGTACGCGAGCAATCCGTGTTTGATCCCCGCCAGCCTTAATGTGTTAATTACGATTTTAAGTGCTGATTTGCTACGTTCTCGGTGGTGAAGAAAAACATCATGATACCCTGCATGTCTGAGAAATTAGAAAAAAAAATTTCAAAGACATGTGAAGGTCGTCAACACGCATTAGGGCGGCCCGGTGAACATTTCCTTGCCCTAAAACACTCAAAAATGACAGGAGGCCTATGTCCAGCTGTGGGACGTATACATGCTGTAACTTTAACATTAAATTTATAGATACTGTTACTGTTAGAGCTTATTAAAGTCCACTGCTGAACATAAGTCTTCCCCATAGACTGCCTCGTACGGGGATAATTGCCATGGTTACCACGCTTAACAAACGTGTTGGCAAATTTTCATACGTAGTAGAGCCATGTTGCAGTTATATTAGTAGTATAGTTGTTGCATGAATGGGTCGGCTCGACCGGGGAAGGACCACGCTCTCACAGAATACCAGCGTAAAATAGTAGCTTAATGCTGCTGTGTTTCGTATGGTGAGTGTAGAGGAGACCCTTTTTATTGGAAACGTGGCATTCCATCTTAGTCCTCACGGGTGACAACGCATCTGCATTTTGATTCGTAATCGAGGATAGATTTAGAGTTCACTCTGTGTTGAGTAAACTTTATGTTTTAAAATTTAAGCTACCATATAAAATACTTAGATTACTTTACATGACTCTAGCAGATTCCGTCATTAGTTATGGACTTAGCAGTTATGGTAGAACTTATGTAACGTACATACAGGAAATTTACACATTACAACGCAAGATGCTTCGATGGATAGTGCCTAATAATCACATTAAAAATAAGTACATAGACAATGACCAGGGCCTTTTTAAATATTGCAAAGTTATAAATGTTTTCGATAAAGTTAAATTTAATATACTGACGGAAGTTAATAATTCAGAATATCTAGTTCTTAAAAAACGACCTGTAAATCTACGAAATATAGCTTATAAATCAAACATGCACACCATATGTACTTCCGAAAACTAAAAATTTCTATGGAGCAAGAAAGTCCGCCCATCTTGTACCTACTTTTATTAATGAATTGCCAATAGAATTACAAGAAACTTACGGTAAATCCAAACTGTTTAAAAGTAAACTTAAATCATATTTGTTAAATCAACCATACTTATTGTAGTACTTACTTCTGTTAGAATAATGTGACTTAATATTAACACATCTTAGTTTATCTAAGACGACTCTCTAGCGTAGATAAACCCCTAGAGGTTTATATGCTAGCATTGTACTGGATAATGTAACAAAATTTTGGATAATAATATTTAAAAAAAAACATGCCTATGGGTCACAGCAACCACTTACAATCAGGTGAACTATCTGCTCGTTTGTCACCCAATCCTATAAAAAAAGCACTTTTGTATTGTAGTTGTTATTATGAAGACCCTGCTGCCAATCTCCTGATGTGTTTCCTTTTGTTACCTCTTACGACACCCACGGGATGATATGGGGGAGTGAATACTTTTAAACCGCCACTACACAGTTTATTTTAAAGTTTTTAAAGCTTAAGCTTTAAAAACTTAAAAAAAGTATCTTTCTTAATCGATTTATTATGACGCCATAAGAGCGTCTATAACTCAATCTCGATCTCATCAGGAATTAAAATCGCCCTTCTAAGACACCAAGTCCTATAATAGAATAAAATACAATATTATTTGCAAGAAAATGTTCTGAATTCTGCTTTATTTTCTATTATATTATTTCATCAGTACAGAATCCACTCATTAGCTAAATTAACAAAAAAAAAAAACTCTCATCAAATACGTATGTCTATGTTTTAACAATATTTCACAAAGCGAACGAAAATATGACGAAAAAAGGCGGTTGTGAAAAATAATATACATTTTACTTTGTACAACGTTGAATAAACCACGTTTTTAGCTTTTGTCGACAAAAATTGAATATAAACTATCAGTTCGAATAAAATTCTGTACACTGTTTAAAGGCAATAATTAAAGTTATATATTCATGATACCACTCCCGTGCGTGCTTCCATTAATAAATGTACAAAGGTTTGTATGATCAAGCGTTGTTTCTAGTAATTGAACCATTACTATTATAAAAAAAACCCGATCAACCTCACTTCCATATCAAGAAATTCGAAGCGAATTTAAATCTTTTCTTTTTGGTTGAAAAATGGAAATTTATATTTGCTGCAGCCAGAGGGAGTAGAAGCGGGGAACTAATGAATTTATCGGCTTTTACAGAATAAATGATTGGTGGATAAATCAAAAGAAACGGTCAAAGTGGGTTATAACGTTTTAAAGGTAGAGTGTTAAGTGATATACGTTAAAATAAAGAATTCGCGTCGCTTCAATTGCTTCACCAAGCATAGTAAACCTGGTCGATTAAGGAGTTACTGTGGACTTATGAGAAAGCCGCCTTGCTGTTGCTGGTATGAAACCACTCGTTTTTTTCTATAGCTATGTAGCCAGCCCATTTACATTTCATTTTGATTAATCTCTTCAAATATAATATGAACGGTGTTTTTAAAAGATAACGCAACAACAAGGCACTGGGTGGCGTGACTGCTTTTCTGTCTAGAAATTTGTTTGAGAATATCTAACCAACTTATGTTTTTCTGTCACCTAACAGCAGTACGTGTTCGGCGGTAAGAGAATCGTGAGAAAATTTGTATGTGGAATAAAAATATTTCGAACATATTGAAAGTGAGATGAAAGAAGGTCTGTGCCCAGCCCTGCAATGTATACAGGGAGAAACTCTGTCTTTTAGGGCATCTATGACCCGAGCATACAAAAAGTTTTTGATTATTATCAGAAATAATGAATCTAAGTAGAAATAAAACCAATTAAGAATCTAAATCATGGAATTCCCTTCATATTATCGAAAAACATTTTATGGTTATTGCTTAAAAAAATGAAATCTCGAACGTCAAAGTGTTTTCCCGTCTCGATTATATTATAGAGAACGAGGTAAGCCTGTGCCTGTCTGAGAAATTAAAAATATTTTCTTTTTCGTATTATTAACCAGCGCCCTTGCATATGCATAAGATAACGCCATAGAAAACCAAAAAATATAATAAGAATGACATATGTATTAGACTTAACGCTGATTTCATTCATTTTCACAGTAGGGATCATAACGCATTGCAGAAGCAACGACCGATGCTGGTAACCCCGCTGATCCGTGTGTTTAGCCTTCTGTGGATATTGTATTATCTTATGTGTAGTACTCTTAAATAAATCCCATTATACATTTATATGCGTCCGCACAATCGTAATAATAATTCATAAATTTGAAAGAAAACCTTTTACTATATTTTTATTAATAACCTTTCGTTTTCCAACGAGCGTCAGAAGCTTTCTGATTAATGCAGTAATAAATGAAGCCATAATTTAAACGTATAATATTTTTTATGTGACAAGGAATGGTACTATTTGTTTACTTGTTTATCGAAATTAAGCATAACGTTACAAGTTAAATTGCGAACAGTAAAACAGCCATAAAAGCGTTCTGGGTGGTTCTGATACAAAAAAGAATGAGTAAAAAATAAATGTAAATCTATGATTGCACACTTCAAGCATTTATACAGCTTACAAAACCGTAGATTTGCCAGAAAAAAATTTAGTTTCATATTATAATATCTAGTTACGTTGTTATACCTATTATAGTATGGCAGATGTTGATAGTTTTTCTAGAAGTTATAAGTTTTTTATAGTTTAAAATTAATTCTAATGTAATACATAATGAATTCTTATATTTTGTTGAATACTACCCATTGCATAGAACTAATTTTGTTTTAATATGAAAAACATGAACTAAAATCCATTTAAACAATGTGATATCAATTGATATTAAATACAAGTCGCAAAAAGCAGATACGTCTTTTGTGATATATTCATAATTTTCAAAAAACATTATTGTAAAATATTTTTCTTCCAATGTTGAGTTGAAGTATAGTAATTCCTGAGATTAAAGCATTGAGGAATGCACTCATAAGTAAGAAACGGTCAATTATGAGTGGCCACTCCGGTTCGACAATCGTGGTAATTGAATCACGAATACATCTTTTTTTATGCTTTCTCACTTGTA